AGTGTTGAACTATTGTTTTTCAGGGATTAAACGAGAGTTTTTATAGTTACAACTAATTAGAAAAATTGCTTCTTTGACCCTATTCCTTTGAATAACAGCATTAGAGGTAACACATGTGACGTGATGGTCACTGATTTTCATGACAGTATTTTGTGTGCAACAAAATCATATAGCAGCCGACGAATTTTGGGTGAAACGAGATAAAAGCGGGTACAAAAAGTCAAGTTTTGTCTATTAGCAGATACTATAGTTTCGTTTGATAGGCTAGAGCTTACGAAATTTAATCAAAAAGAAACAAATGAGAAATACCCCCTCGATTTATCGATCTATACCTGGCCTACCTATCATTGACGATCTTAAAGTTGATGAATAAACGTTTAATTGTTGTACGTCATAATCACCCTCTAAAATTTGTTCAACGTCAGTCTTTTTATATGCGACCCGATCGACTAATAATATTTCACTTATGACACATGTGATCCAAAGAATAAAGAATTTGAATAACTCGGAAATCCATTCGCATATCATAAAATTTCGTTTGTTTTTTGCCATACGCTCCTCAAACCTAAATAGCTGCGGGAGAGATTATGCTGCAAAAAATTGCGTTTACCTGAATGACTACCTACTTAGATACCACTATTTACACAATAATCACCTGATGATAACAGCATAGCTTTATTATATTATTATAGAATCGATAAGAAAACAGAAATGGCATATCAAGTTATTAGAAACGGTCGACGAATTTAAAATGCGGCCATTTGACTAGTAGACAATGTTCCACGTGTATTTCTCGATGATGTTAATGACTTTTTCCAGTATGTAACAACGTTCACATTCGATGATAATAATCATGTACCATTTGTTCTGGATGATAAATGTCAGACACGTTTGAAACCGCTAAGAATTCATGCGTATCCAGATCACATATTAAATGGTTATGAGCCAAATTCAACGTGTGTGCTGAATATAAAAGAGAATTTTATTCATTTTTGTTTTTGTGATTTACAACAAATACTTCGTGTTTCATTTTGGTTTATATGTTTAATTATATTATATCTTTTTGTGAATTTATTCATTTAGATCTGTTATGCGTAATAAATTCAATTAGAAGGAAACATTTATTAAATAAAAAAGAGACTCCGTTACAATTTAAATGCGTCCGCCGTCTTTCCTTAATTAATAAGACCTAGCACCCATAAGTGTCCGAAAATTCCTTTGCAGCAAACGCGAGAAAAAGCGTTCAATAAACATCGTTAATGTATTCTCTTCTTCAAAGCCCCAAAAACCCTTTAAAACGCGTTTTCATTTTTTCGTAAAAGTTCACACGAATAGATTAAAGCGCTCATGGGCGGATGTGCGATTTCTAAAATCATATCGGTTCTCACGTGTACTGATTCTATCGCTCATTTGTTTATGTGTCTGACTAAGGGATAGTTATTTTATTGACATAATTGTTGATACACTTCGCAATGTTCAACGATGAGCTTGCTACATTTCTGGGTTAAACTCAAAAATATGATTGCGTAATATATGAGTTGATTATAAACTTTTGCCTTTTGTTAGGGATGCAATATTTCTTCCTTTCATTTCTAAAGTCATTGTCATTATTGATCTATTATAATCCAACCATTTTATTTTGAAGTACATCCGTTTCCCATAAAAAAACATTTCAGTTCAGAAATAACCCAAATTCGGGGTCGTGTATGCAGAAACAGTTGAAAGATTTACTTTGTTGTCATCGCTAAACGAATAAAAAGGAGGAAAAATGCAATGATTCGATACACGTCCCACTATTAAAGCAAGCTGGAGAAAAATTCTAAACGAAAGGCGTAGAAACACTTCAAATGCTGTTGTAATGCTACTAATGCAGATAATTGTTGCGACTCTTAGATAATTGAATTTATATAAATAGCAAAGTACATTCAGTTCAAACACACTTTCTTAAGCAAGTAAAGAATTTAAAAATTTCATCTACAAATACCAGTTGAATGCTACACAGATTCTGAAAGCTTACAAGCTCTTCTATAACCTGAGTAGAGCCAGCGATTCGGGTCTCACCTAAAGAATCGACAGAGATCGCCGACTTGACCGACAGTATCACGAAGCTCACCGAACAGTCGTTCATAAGAAGGAAATGCCCGAATTGGCCAAATTTGTTCCAACCAAAGCAGCGGTTTTTATAGTAAAAATAAATACAGATTCAGAATCACCGCAGAATGCTGAGTGTCATCATGATAAAAACAAATATGAAACCATGCTTCAGCAACACTTCCGTTGAATTCTTCTCCTTTTCGTTTCCTCTTCTACTCATTCAAGGCGGCAGAGTCTAAATTTTAAGGTTGCACCTTTACAAGAAAATTTAAAAATTATTTTAAAAACATGGGTCATCCTTTTTCACACCAAAACATGAAATAAACTCACACGTGCATTTTATGATCTCATTCGATTCTACGCACTAGCAATCAAAAAACTACCTAAAACGGTCTGGACGGTCTGAAAACCGCCAGTAAACTGTTAGTAATTGAAAGTTAACCGGCATTTAATCTCTCTTTTTGTATGTGTTCAATGTCGCTTTCTGTAGCTAATATCAATATCGAACTTCAGACGTTTTGTACCATTATTGTAAGCATATACTGGT